GCATGCACGGAAGTTGTTCAGGACTTTTTTAAAATAATTTGCATTAAATGCAAAATAGCATTCTTCTGTGTGGTACTGTTAAAAAATATTCTCATATACACATAAAAAAGAACTACAAAGTTTATGTGTATGGGGCCACCATTAGCGGTAAACACATGGCACTGATCACATCTTACAGCCTGAAAGGCATTTTGGTATAGTATAAATTCCAATTAACTATGGAATGTAATGTACATTATATTAGTGTTTTTACTGTATAAAAATGTGTGTTTATCTGTGTCTGTGTTTATAAAAATTAAATGCAGATTTGTTTTTTAAAGTTTATATTACCATTGGCTTTGGACCAGTTTTAATGTACTCATGATATGTATTTATTATTTAAAGGATATCTGATCTAAGACATTTCTGTAAAGAAATTTCGTTGGTAATAAAAAGATGTATTATGCGCTTACAAAAAGACAATATTTAAAAGCAGTTTGAGTGGTAGGAACACTCAGCCATATAAGCCATATATTCTAACGAGACGGAGTCGGATCCCTTGACGCGTTTCGTCCACAGGACTTTATCAAAATAGAAACATTTATTTATTCACAAGCTTATATATCAAGTTTATTTATTAATCATGTATTCATGTATCACAACTGAATGGAGGAGAAGTAGAGTTGGTTCTCCTTGATTTAATTTTACCTAGCACAACATACTAGCAATTGATTTTCACGGGTTCACCATATTGTTGCAGCTGGTATTTCTTTAGACTTATTAGATTACTCGGAGCGCAACTAGTTGTTGTTACTTACTGGAAGGAGAATAAATTAGGGGTCTGCCCTAATTACTATAATGCATATCAGGGCCAGCTTTTTTAAAGGTAAAATAAACAATTGCTAAATGTTTCCAAAACAAATGCTTGCCTGTGTTTCCTAGTTTGCAATGTTTCCTAAGCCTGAAAGTTTATTCAGAGATGTTAAAGGACACAAAAGGAATAACAGAATAGTGGTATGTACATATACCAACAAACCTTATTACAACATTAAAGCAGTCCATGTTAAAAGAGGTAAGAGAGTTTTTACTTAGCCACAATGTGAAAAATCTCTCCTTTTTTGCTTTTGTTAATGGGTTGAAGATCATTTATATACTCTTTTATAAGATTGTCAGTATCTAATTTCTGACACCTAAAACACATTTTTAAATGGACGCACATTAGTAACATTGAATATTTTTATGTTTTTTTGGACAAGTATAATTGTGAAAAACTTAATTCTAAACTAACTCATAGTTTGTTAAAGTTCAAGTCTAGACAGGGACCCCTAACCCTGCAAAAAAAATACCCCACAACTCTCTTTAGCTAAACACTGCGGCAATTAAATAAATAATCTAAATGCCCCAAATATACTCACCTAAATTAGCAATTACATGACACACAGCATCCCGCATCCGGACATTTTTCGACTGTAGAGTAGGAAGGATTTTCTTTGGGTGCCTGGTGACATGGACTCTTTTCATTGGCAAGGTCCTCACAGGTCCTGAACACTCTAGTGCCAGTGTGGTGATGTCATGATGAGGGGCAGTAACAAGTTAGCAGTGCGCTCAGGCAGCAGCTGTGGATCACATGTCTTCACTGGCAGTCGCACCACAGAGGTTCATGTCGTGGAAGATTTAGGTATGTCGAATCGGGTTTAGGAAAACAATTTAACAATGCTTATGCAACTTTAAATATTAAATTACACTTTAGAGGGAGATGCTTGAATAGGAAATATGTCACATGTATGCACATGTATGCAGATTATGGTGGAATTGTGCAGTGTGCAATTGTGGTATTTTAACAGAATGATGACTAGAGATTTAAGTTCTCTCAACTAACAGTGATGAGACACTTAAAACAGAAGCAAACAGCCAGAAAAAATACAGTTTTGGGCCCCAGGAGCATTTTGCAATAATGTGCACATATGTATAACCATATTTGCACATTATTGCACACATACCAAGCAAAGTTTTCAGCCATCTTGATTAGCCAGGTAAAGATGACATAACTCCTGCAAATGTGCATAGGACTTACTCTGTCCTGGCAGAGAATTATGATTGGACTGTACACTGAGCTGTGCAATGCAAAGTTCAGTATATACTCAAAAAGAATTTGGCCAGCAAGGAAAGCATTTATGACATAAGCAACATACAGGGGTTGATTTACCAAAGGTAAATAGGCTGTTCACTTTGCAAAAGAATTTGCACTTCACAAAGGAGGTTTGCATGAGTTGGTATTCTGACCTCATTCACTAATCTAATTTATATGATATTTCAGTAATGATATACAGCAGGATACATGTACTTTAAGGCTCATCAGGATACCTGTGGTTTAAGGTTCCAGATATACAGACATTATTTACAGAAAAGAAGTTTCATCAATTAGATACATATTTTATAAGGAAAAAAAAATTCCACAATGGAACAATAGGTGCACATAAGACGAACTTGGTTGAAATTGGTAAATATATTTATTTTTACAACCTTACTGTGTAACTTTGGACTTATTTTTTTTAAAAAGTAAAAACTACCATTACCTGCTATGTTCCCTGATTATCTTTTTGTCGGTAATACAATATGAACATACACCAGCAAAACTAATATTCTTGTTACAGAGTAAGAAAATGGGTGCATTGTTATTAATGCAATTTGCTTGATCTCTCACAGTACATGAAAGGGAAATAATTGTAGGTGTAATTAGTCAGTTATGTAGGACTATTTTCATCAACTTGTTTGCCCTGTAGTCACCTTCTTGTTAAAAACTATAATTCTGGCTAGTGTCACTTGGTAACAGTAAAGTTATAAACAATTACCAAAAGAGGTCACTCTTGTCATGAATTCTGGCTGCTGAGATAACGAAGTAGATATGATCGCATTGCTCTGCTCTCTCCTCCCCCTGGCTCAGTGATTCACCCTCCCACTTTTCACACACAAAGAAGCACTGCTACTCCGAGATGTGAATTCTGTGGATGTTAATTTCTGTGGATGGATTATTTTTGGGGTGGAAAAGGCTTGGAATCCTAAGCTACAGGCAATTTGTAATAGAAAGGATCTATGTTGCATCAAAAGCTAAGGAGACATTGTAAGATATGGACATCAGAGGCTGCTGTCTGTGTTGGAAATGGCAAGTAGCTTTATCCCTTCTCCTTTGTAGCTGGGGCTGTGTCTCTGGGCAGCTTCGTTATTCTATTGTGGAGGAGTCTGATCCAGGGACATGGGTGGGAAATGTAGCTCAGGATCTGGGCATAAAACATGCACAGATTTCTCAACGCAGATTACATTTATCATCTGAGAAATACCAAAAATACTTTGCTGTAAATGAGGAAAATGGAGGCTTGACTGTTAATGACGGGATTGATAGAGAGATCATGTGTGGATCCACTGTGGACTGCGTGCTGCATTTAGAGGTGGTTGCTGAAAATCCTTTAGAGATTTTTAGTATAGACATAGAAATTCAGGATATTAATGATAATTCTCCCACATTTCTAGTTCATTGTCATAACATTGAGATTACAGAAGTGTTCACAAATCCTGGTGCTCGGTTTGCTTTAGAAATAGCTGAGGATTTGGATGTTGGTAGTAATGGTGTTAGACAGTATCTGTTGAATACAAATCCTTATTTCTCTCTATCTGTAAAGAATCGTAAGGATGGAACTCTCATCCCTCAGCTGATATTAGAGAAGGTGTTAGATAGGGAGGAGAAACAAGAACACAATCTTATTCTCACTGCTATTGATGGCGGAGAACCAGCTAGATCAGGATCCTGTCATATCACAATAACAGTATCAGATATTAATGACAATCCACCAACATTTAATCAATCAATTTATAAGATCAAACTGAAGGAAAATCTTCCAGTAAATACAGATATATTGACAATAACTGCAACAGATATGGATGATGGTGCAAGTGGTGAAATTGAATATTGTTTTGATAGCCACACTTCTAAATCTGCAAGAAAATGTTTTGCTTTGAATGGTCAGAACGGGGACATCTATAATATTGGAAACATTGATTATGAGGATTTGAATTTCTATGAATTGTCTATCAAAGCAGCAGACAAGGGGCTTCCAAAACTGGAAGGTGACTGCCTGGTTCAAATAGAAATAGAAGATGTAAATGACAATTATCCTGAGATTTCTTTTGCTTCAATGGCAAATGAGGTTCCAGAAAATGCTCCTCTTGGAACTGCTGTGGGATTTATTAAAGTGAGAGACAAGGATTCTGGGAAAAATGGAGAGATAGATTTGCACTTATCTCACAATATTCCATTTAAAATCCGCACTATTAAGAACTACTATTCACTGGTTACAGATGGGATTCTGGATAGAGAAAAAATATCCCAATATATTATTGAACTGACAGCTTCTGATTTTGGGTCTCCACCTCTGTCCAGTAAGATGACTGTTATTCTTGGGGTTGTTGATGTTAATGATAATGCACCAACATTTTTACAGTCCACATATAGTGCCTTTATAAAGGAAAACAGTGATCCAGGGACTCTCCTAAGTTCAGTGTCTGCTACTGATGCAGATGAGGGGATTAACTCTGATCTGGTTTACACTGTAGTGGAGACTGAGATAGATGGATCTTCTGTATCCTCGTTTGTTTATATTAATTCTAATAATGGTGCTATATATGCTCAGCGTTCCTTTGACTATGAGCACATTCAGACTCTACAAATCACCATAAAAGTAGAGGATTCTGGATCTCCCAAGTTATTTTCTACTGTCCCTGTCTTTATATTCATATTGGATACAAATGACAACCCCCCCACCTTGCTGTATCCAGAGCACTCTGAGGATCTCATTGTCCAAGAGAAGATCCCCAAATCAACAAGTGCTGGATATCTGGTGACAAAACTGACTGCAGTGGATCTGGACTCTGGCCACAATGCCTGGTTGGCCTTTCACCTTATTGAACCTGGCAGCTCTTCACTTTTCCAAGTGTCTAAACATACAGGAGAGGTCAGGAAAGTAAGGGGATCTCAGGAAACAGAAAACACAGATCAACAACTCATTATCTCTATCAGTGATCATGGAGATCCATCATTATCTACTACTGTCACTGTACTTGTCAGTATAGCAGATAATGTTTTAGTAGACAGACCTAAATCTGGAGAATTTCTCACAAACTACAAACCACCATCAGATATGACTTTATATTTAATTGTTTCTCTTGTAGCTATCAGTTTAGTTTCCCTTGTGACATTCATTATATTACTAGTCAAATGTCTGAGGAAGGAAAGTTATGGTTATAGCAGTAGCTGCTGTTTTCTTAATGCCACTGTGTCCAAACCAAACATGGATCAGTATCAGCCAGCTCTTTTCCTGAACACAGACGGAACCTTAAAATACATGGAAGTCAGGATGGTTCCTCCAGGAGGACAAGGACAATGTTACCAAACTAATGTGCCCCCAGCCACACAACAGCGGGATTCAGCTTTTCTGCAGTCTCTGGATTTTCCCCAGTTACAGGAACTAGTAAAATACACTGATACATCATCAGATACAAGCTGTCTCAATGATCAAAGCAAGGTCAGTTGTTTTTATTAAATTTTCTTTTAAGTTTCTTTAGATTACATGAATATTTTTACTTATTCCACATCGTATCAGTCACATTGATTTTTTAAATAATGTGGTTTTTTTAATACATTTCCTGTATGTGAGTGTGATATTAAATGTACTTAAAATTATATACCACTCATTCATTAGTCCTAAGAAAGATGCACTTGGTGGAAACTTAATCTTGAAGACTTTATTGTAATGAACACAGCACCTCAATATGCATAGGTAAATGCTATATAATTGCCAACAATTGTACAGGTCCTTCAGTTTTGGTTTAAATGTATCTGGTGCAGTTTTCTTAAGGATCAGAAGTATGAATAAGTAATTCCACCTACAGTTGGGTAAATGTTGCATTTTTTAAATAAAATATTTCAGTAGTGAACAGTTCACATTTAATTAACTTTTTTAAAATCATATTGGTGTATAACTTATATTGCAAAATCATCACTGCTGCAAGGGTTGCAGTGACTTTCAGGTGCACAAGCCTGGACAGGTATTGGGCTTCTAAATGTTTCCATATGTATATGAGATTTGCCGGTATAAACTTTTTCCTTTGTTAACCAGACTCAGATTGTGAAAATGTAAAATAGCCTAGAGCAGTAGATTTTCATTGCCTGAGCATATTTGTTAATTGACTGATTGATTCATTTATTTATTCATTCATTCATTAGGAAATGTATATGTCATTGGATCAAATTTTTATGTCTTATAGAGTGTCTGTAGAGCTCTATCCAAATACAGTGAGCTATGATAACATTGATGACTAAATACGAGTGTCCTAGAGGAGCATAAAGCAAAATGTTAGCCTTGATAGTGCGTCTGGGTCTTTGAAGAAGGCATTGGATTGGCTGAGTCGAACTCCTTCTTCACTTCGGCCATACATTGGCTAAAATCAGCCGTACATCGGCTAAAATCAACCGTGCATCGGCTGCCTTTGGCTGCCTGCAGTCAGCCGAACATGTAGAGCATGTTCGGCTGACTGCAGGCAGCCAAAGGCAGCTGATGCACGGTTGATTTTAGCCGATGTACGGCTGAAATAAGCTGTACAAGGCTGAAGTGAATAGTTGAACAGCCTTCGGCTCACTTCACTTCGCCTTGGTTATTCACTCAGCTGCCTTCGGCATCTAATTGAATAACCCCCTTAGTATTTCCCCTGCTACATATTGAAGATCCTTTAAAGGCCCTAGGACTAAAAACACTTTTCCCATGTACTTGCTACTCTCACATGTCCTGCACAGAGACTGTGAAACTTCTTATAAACTATTCACACCTTCAAAGCATTTTGCAGATCAACACTCCTTTGAGGAGAAGTGGGCTCAAAGAAGCCGCCTTAATAAAGTATGAATGACTCCTGTAGAGGATGCACCAGTCTTTAGGATAGATATACATTTGCAGATTCTTTCAAAAACCTTCTTTTCTCTGGCAGGAGCTGTTGGTTTGTCAAACATTAGGAAATCAAACTATTTATGATGAGTTTGCAGCTATGAATGATTGCATAGACAGGTTAGTGGATATATCCTGTCTCAGCCCCCTCTATGGTTGATGTTTTCAAATTTCCTGTGTCCCCGTACAGGTTGGCAGCCCTTCATGCAGCCCTTGAGGCTCTTCAGGATCAAGGGGCTATCACCCCAGCCCATGTTTTCAGGATTCGGTGGGACAACACCACAGTCGTGCATACATGAACCATCATTGAGAATCCAGAAGTTTTTTGCATTAGAAAGAGAGGTAGAAAGGATTCTGTTAAGGGAGGGACTTCACGTTCCAGCCTTGTCTTCCATTTATATCCAAGGTGTGGAAAATTGGCAGGCCGACTTCCTCAGCTGGTAGCACCTGAAAATTGGATTTTTGTAATCACTGTAAAATTCATTGATTGGGGTTAATTGAAGGACACCATCCCATGCCTCTGTGTGTTGCCTTGCTCTTGTTACTACTTGGTTACAAAATTGAGACCTGATGGGAGTGGGTTATACTAGGAGAGTTATACTGGGCTTCTTTGTTTGCCAGTGTCCATATCCTCTTGTTGGTAGCAGTATTACCTAAATGTCTCTGAATTCCATTTTTCCTTAAAGATGCAGCACAGTAGAGAGGTGGTCTCAGTAGCAGTTTAGCATTAGGCCCACTTTAACGTGGAACAAGGCTTAAAACAAAAACTCGAGCCAACAACTTTCAAGATAAAAATGAACAGCCCATAAAAGAAAAAAATAACAAAATATAACAAAACAAAAACAGCAATTTTTACCTTACATGCAATACTTTTATCTGACGTTTGATGTCTTCAATCTGATGGCCAGCATTATTCAGTCCTGAGCCCAGGTTAACAGGGACATTGGCCCAGCCCGTTACTGGACATTGAAAGGAGGAGTATCACAATAATAAGCTTAGGTTTGTTGGTAAGATTGTGAAAGACCTGTGGCACCTGTGGGCACCCAAATGAGAAGAATGAGGCCCACACACTAACCATGCACTGAATGGTGGGTGTGGGAAAATTAAGCTAACAGTAGGAGGGGCATGGTTAAATAAAACTTAAGCATTCTCACTGTACACTTATGTGACAATACAACCCCCTCTCAGTAAAGACACCCCCCCCCAGTACAGGACCCCCTACAGTACAGCCCAGCCCCTTTCAGACCAATTCCTCAGCACAGCTCCCCTTCCTATCTGAAACCCATTTACCAGACCTGCAGCACCAGTTCAGAGTGAGATGTCCTCTATACTGTGTCATGTGACTGGAGCTTAGTAGAAGGAGCTAAGAGAAGCATCCCTTGGTTCTGAACTGCCACTGACAGTTCAGCAGACAAGGCTCTGCAGTGCTAATGATATAGACTCTAGAGAAACCGTAGTAAAAAAAAACAACAAATTTTAAGCAATCATGGCCTCAGGACCTATGCAGGGTACATGTCCTGGGTACTTGACCCCAGTGATGCCCCTGGATGACCTTTTTTCTATCACTTTGCTTTCTCTTCCTATCACCATGCTGCTTGTCAGGACAAAATCTGATTGGCCTTTTGGACTGCTTCTCCTTCTGACACTACAGCCCTGCTGTACAGGGACTGCGAGAGGCTGATACAAGGTCAATTTCAGGTACTTACACTGCTTGTATTAAAACAAAAGATAATGATGTATTAATAATTACAGAGCTGCATTAGTTTGTGTTTTTTATATCTGACTAGAGGTCAGCTTTCAAGTACATCTAAAGGCAACCCCCCCATTTTGGATAGAGTGGGAAAGACTTAGATCCCTATCAGCTTTTTATTGCTGTCTCTGTCCCAAATGTAACCAATTACATAAAAGAAAGACAAATTATTAAGCATTCATTTAGATCATACTGTTAAAGTAGTAATTACATCTAATTACTCTGTCTAATAATGATGTTTTGTTTATCCAAATGGAAACATTTATACTAATGAAAATGTCCTAGCGCAACATATCAGCCATTTATCAGATACACACTACACATTTACAAAAGCAGGTGTCAGTTTTATGGGTGGAAGTATGTGTTTTATGCAAGAAACATATTTTGTTATATACAAATGACATGTAAAGTATTGCTTAACATAACAAAATATAAGATACATTTTAAGCTTTCTACTTACTCTAAAGAAAGAATGTGTCCTAGTAAAATGTAGACAAAACTTTTTAACAAGGTTGATGTTATATTTAATGACCACAGGAGGGCAGACTTGTCATCTGCACATTTTATTTGTTTTCTGCAATATATCTGCTCAAGCTAGCTTTGCTCTCTCCTCCCCCTGGCTCAGTGATTCACCCTCCCATCATTTTTCACACACAAAGGACTGCTCTGCTAACAATCTTGAGGATGTTTTTCCTATACTTGGGTTATTTTTGCAAAGGCATCAGTATGGATTTATAAACAAAAGGCATTGTGGATTACAGAGGATCTATGGTACAGTACATTTTAAGGAAACATTGTAAGATATGGACATCAAAGGCTGCGATCTGTCTTGGAAATGGCAAGTAGCTCTCTCCCTTCTCCTTTGTAGCTGGGGCTGGGTCTCTGGGCAGCTTCATTATTCTATTGTGGAGGAGTCTGATCCAGGGACATGGGTAGGAAATGTAGCTCAGGATCTGGGCATGAAACGATCAGAGATTATTTTACGTAGAATACATTTACCATCTCAGAAATACCAAAAATATTTTGATATTAATAAGGAAAATGGAGGCTTGGTTGTAAATAACAGGATTGATAGAGAGATCTTATGTGGATCAAGTGTGAGCTGTGTGCTGCATTTAGAGGTGGTTGCTGAACATCCTTTAGAGCATTTCAGTTTAGACATAGAGATTAAGGATATCAATGATAATTCTCCCACTTTCTTAATTTATAAGCGCATAGTCGAAATTACAGAATTATTGGCAAGTCCTGGTGCTAAGTTTACCTTAGATATTGCTAAGGATTTAGATGTTGGTGTTAATGGTATTAGTCAGTACACATTAAATACAAATCCTTATTTCTCATTGTCTGTAAAGAATCGTAAGGATGGAACTCTTGTCCCTCAGCTGATATTGGAGAAGGTGTTGGATAGAGAGGAGAAACAAGAACACAATCTTATTCTCACTGCTATTGATGGAGGAGAACCAGCTAGATCAGGATCCTGTCACATCACAATAACAGTGCTAGATATTAATGATAATCCACCAGTCTTTGATCAATCAGTGTATAAAATTAGTCTTAAGGAAAATATCCCTTTAAACACTATTATATTTACTTTAAATGCAACAGATCTTGACGAAGGAGCAAACAGTGAAATTCGGTATTATATTGATGATCACACAGCAGAATCAGCCCGAGAAAAATTTGCTTTGAATGAACAAAGTGGTCAGATTTATATTAATGGGTCAATAGATTATGAGGAAGTCAATTTTTATGAATTTTCTATTAAAGCAGTAGACAAAGGACTTCCTAAATTGGAGGGGGACTGTTTAATTCACATAGAAATAGAAGATGTAAATGACAATTATCCTGAGATTTCTATTGTTTCAATGACAAATGAAATTCCAGAAAATGTGCCTTTAGAAACTGCTGTGGGATTTATTAATGTAGAAGACAAGGACTATGGAAAAAATGGAGAAATAGAATTGGGATTATACCCTAATAGTCCATTTAAAATCAAATCTATTAAAAATCGTTACTTATTGGTCACTGATGAGACTCTGGATAGAGAGAAAATATCTCAATACACTATTGAGCTAACAGCTTCTGATTTAGGGTCTCCTCCACTTTCCAGTAAGACTGTTGTTAATCTCAGGGTTTCTGATGTTAATGATAATGCACCAACATTTACACAAACCACTTATAATGCTTTTATAAAGGAAAACAGTGACCCAGGGGCTCTTCTGTGTACAGTGTCTGCTTCAGATGCAGATGAAGGAGATAACTCTAATCTAATTTACTCCACAGTGGAGACCCAGATAGATGGATCTTCTGCATCCTCTCTTGTTTATATTAATGCCAATAATGGTGATATATATGCTCAGCGTTCTTTTGATTATGAGCACATTCAGACTCTACAAATCACCATAAAAGTAGAGGATTCTGGATCTCCAAAATTATTTTCTACTGTCCCTGTCTTTATATTCATATTGGATACAAATGACAACTCCCCCACCTTGCTGTATCCAGAGCACTCTGAGGATCTCATTGTCCGAGAGAGAATCCCAAAATCTACAAGTGCTGGATATTTGGTGACAAAACTGACAGCAGTGGATCTGGACTCTGGTCACAATGCCTGGTTGGCCTTCAACCTTATTGACCCTGGCAGTCCTTTACTGTTTCAAGTGTCTAAACATACAGGAGAGGTCAGGACAGTACGAGGATTGCAGGAAACAGAAAACACAGAGCAACAACTCATTATGTCAATCAGTGATCATGGGGATCATCCTTCATCCATCACAGTCACTATAATTATCAGTATAGCAGATGAGGTTATAGTAGAGAGACCAAAATCTGGTGATTTATCGACCCATTCTAAGGCACCATCAGATATGACTTTATATTTAATTGTTTCTCTTGTGGCTATCAGTTTAGTTTCCCTTGTGACATTTTTGATATTACTGGTGAAATGTCTAAGAAAGGAAAGTTATGGTTATAACAACAGATGCTGTTATCTTAGTGGATCTGAGTCTCAAACATACATTGACCAGTATCAGCCAGCTCTTTTCCTGAACACGGATGGAACCCTAAAATACATGGAAGTCAGGATGGTTCCTCCAGGAGGACAAGCACAATGTTACCAAACTAATGTGCCCCCAGCCCCACAACAGCAGGATTCTGCTTTTCTGCAGTCTCTGGATTTTCCCCAGTTACGGGAACTAGTTAAAGACACTGACACCAACTCAGATATAAGCTGCCTAAACAATGCAACCAAGGTGAGTTGTAATTTAAATCTAAAACCCCCTCTTCTTATTGTTTAATCTGAAATATGCAAGGTTTACATTTTTACATCTGATGAAAAACCCTATGTTTGTTAGAATGTATACTACCAAATTCCCATACTAATATTTCCGAGTTCCCTTTGTGTATATTCAGTATTTAGTTGTTTTGAATATAAAGATGCATTTAGAAAAGCAATTTATTGTGCATTTGTATTGATGTTTTTAAGGTGCTCTGCATTTTTACTTAAAATATCGTGTGGGTGTATTCTGCCTTTTTGTAAGACTGTGTGTGTTGTCATATATAAAGCATAGGTAGTGTACTTTAATCCTTTCGCTGCCAAGCCCTGGAACATTTTGCACCTCAGCTGGCCACACCATTTTTGCAATTTTTCCCATTGATTTGATTTTCAACTGCTGCATTGCTAGCGTTTGTAAAAGACCCCCCAAACCATATATTTTCTGAAAGCACAGGCCCGGTAGAATAAAAAGATGGTGCTACTAAATTTGTAGGCCCTGCGATAATTGCGCAAATGTTTCTCAAACTAATATTAAACTGATAAAAATACACAATTCAATTGATAACGTGCACTAAAATCAGTATCAGTGCACAAAAAAAATATTTTCTGAATAAATCTAAAAGATAAAACTGTATTGAGTTAATAAATAGTCCAATCTTTTAAATTGTGCCTTTTTGCGAAAAGGTAAAAAAATTAAGGAATGCAAAACTGTAAATCATGTTAAAAATAGTTTTTACGCTGTGTTGGTGTTTGTGTTGTGATAAAATTATGCAGGCGTATATTTAATTGCAACACAAGGTATCACAATGCACGACAATGCGTCACAAAGCTTTGCCATGCGCTGCCACAGTTAAATTAATGGTTTTAAAAAAGAAAATAAAAAGAAGAAGAAAATCATGCACTGCGATGCGTTCTAACAATGAACTGCAGCGCATGTGCATGGCGTACACCACAATATGGTGCACGTGTATGTTATGTGTGTTGATAATAAAATATCTATGTACACAGTTATTTACAAACATTGGAGTGATCAGATGATCTCTCCAGTGTTTGTCCTTCACACAGAGAATCGGTATCACTGATATTTACCGATCCTCCTTTCGGCCACGCACACAGCTGCTGTCATCATGAAACTAACAGGATGACAGCGGCTCCTTTGTCCTCTCCGCCCGCTGCTCTCTCCTGCCGCTCGATCATCGTGATCGAGCGGCTCGCTACTCCACCCCCATGCCGGCCATTTGTATTTGGATCCCCGCTGCCTCAGCCCATACAAGCAGGGGAGAGCAGCAGGGATCCATGGAGAGAGCGGCTCCAGGCAGGGAAGAGAGGCTGGAGATGCTAGCGGCCGCGGTGCAGGCAGGGGTGTGCCCAGAATTTTTGTTAATAGCTGTCATCAGCAGCTTGTCAGCTGATGATGACATCTATTAATTTAATGGGGACCGTCCAGGGAACAGTTTGCATATGAGTTCATGATCACTAAAGCGACCATGAGCTTATAGCAGAATGGTACATGGCACCGATGTAAGACATACTGACCTGGCATTTTGGGAACTGTTCTGTTCCGCCTTATGCCTTACGTTGGTGGCAGGGAAAGGGTTAAATAAAGTAGTATTAATTTTTTAGCAACTTTTGCTTGTTGGAAAGTGCAACTAAACTGGTTCCTTGCTGATCTCCGTCCGGACTGTGAATGCAGAAGTGATGTGTATTACATTTATACCTTTATACCCTTTTAGTATGCAAAATAAAGGCTTACCTAGCTGGAAAACCACAGGCAGATGGAGAAGAGCAAACAGAATATCAGTACGCAGCAGAACAGGCAGTGTCCTAACCTGAAGAAACAAGATACATATACATACAGAGAGGATTATAGGTAAAATTCAATACAGACAAGACAACCATGATCAGACGCTAAAACCAGTACAGGGCAGATCAACTCAGGTCAGATTTTTTTAAAACAAAAGTAATTTGGAGTGTTATATTTAATCACATTAGGGTTGGAGTTTTTGCACGCTATAGAATGTATATAAAAAATTGCACAAATATGGTTGTGTAGTTATGGTGATAGCTTCGAGATTTTTCACAGTTTCACAGTAAAGTTCATGCATTTTGCTGCATGGAAAAGTATTTCAAAAATAATTCCTTCTGGTACTTTAGATAGGTATGACAGGAAAAATATAAAGACCCGTTCACACCTACAATCACACCTACATAACCATCCAGTCACTATATGTTTCAATAGTATTCTACTATATTAAATATTTCTACAAATTATGGTAGTGTTCATATTTATTGTAAAATAAATTAATCAATAATATCCACTCACAAATCAAAGGATCCAGTCTTTCAGGCCTTGTTCACACCAAATGCAGAGCAGATCCGGTCAGGTTTTTGCACATGCACGCTAGTCTTTTCGATAAGTTTTTGGCTAAAAACATTTTTTTTTTTTAGTTTAACATGAGCTTTCAGTGCGTTCCAGTCATTTGCATGCGTAATTGATGCGTTTGCAGATCCAGAGCAGGTAAAATAGGGCCTGCTGCAGTTTTTTTACCTGCTCTGGACTGCACGCTGCAATGTGAACTGGAGCTAAACATACCATAGGAATACATTGGATGCAGTTTTGATACGGTCTGCACCTGCTCTGCACCTGCTCCGCGCTTGGTGTGAACTAGCCCTTAGAAGTATTTGTATTCATCTGCTTGGCAGGTACATCATTTTTGTATGCATAATTACTTTTTAAAAACATTGGGAATAAGAGCAACAGCTATCTCATTGGTACAAATAATTTTTCTTCTTTCCATATAATTGTTCACTGTAAAATATACGTACAAATGATTTGGTATGATTGCAGTTATATCTAATGACCACAGGAGGGCAGACTTGTCATCAGTACATTTCATTTTGCATGTGCAATATATCTAGTTAGGTTACGTCTGCACTCTCCTCCCCCTGGCTCAGTGATTCACCCTCCCATCTTTTCTCTCACACACAAAGAGCTGCTCTGTTGATGATCCTGAGGATGTTTTCTCTATACATGGATAATTGTAGCAGTGATGTCAGTATGAAAATCTAAATAACAGGCATTTTGGATTACAAAGGATCTATGGTACAACACATATAAAGGAAACATTGTAAGATATGGACATCAGAGACTGTTGTCTGTGTTGGAAATGGCAAGTAGCTTTCTCCCTTTTCCTTTGTAGCTGGGGCTGGGTCTCTGGGCAGCTTCATTATTCTATTGTGGAGGAGGCTGATCCAGGGACATGGGTAGGAAATGTAGCTCAGGGTCTGGGCATTAAGGGTGCAGAGATTTCTCAGCGGAGATTACATTTATCATCTGAGAAATACCAAAAATATTTTGCTGTAAATAAGGAAAATGGAGGCTTGACTGTTAATGCCAGAATTGATAGAGATTTCCTGTGTGGATCCAGTGTGAACTGTGTGCTGCATTTAGAGGTGGTTGCTGAAATTCCTTTAGAGCTTTTTGGTTTAGATATAGAGATTCAGGATATCAATGATAATTCTCCCATATTTTTATCTAGTAAGCGCATCATTGAGATTACTGAATTATTAAATCCTGGTGCAAGGTTTACCTTAGATATTGCTAAGGATCTAGATGTTGGTGTTAATGGTATTAGTCAGTACATATTAAACACAAATCCTTATTTCTCTTTGTCTGTAAAGAATCGTAAGGATGGAACTCTCATCCCTCAACTGATATTAGAGAAGGTGTTAGATAGGGAGGAGAAACATGAACACAATCTTATTCTCACTGCTGTTGATGGTGGAGAACCTACAAGATCAGGATCCTGTCATATCACTATAATAGTGCTAGATTTTAATGATAATCCACCGGTCTTTGATCAACCAGTGTATAAAATAAAGCTTAAGGAAAATGTTCCTTTAAATACAGTTATAATAACTTTAAATGCAACAGATTATGATGAGGGAGCAAATGGTGAAATCCTGTATTATATTGATGATCACACAGCAGAATCCATTAGAGAAAAATTTTCTTTGAACGAACAAAGTGGTCAGATTTATATTAATGGCTCTATAGATTATGAGGAAGTCCATTTTTATGAATTTTCTATTACAGCAGTAGACAAAGGATTTCCTAAACTGGAAGGTGACTGTGTCGTTCATATAGAAGTAGAAGATGTTAATGACAATTATCCTGAAATTTCTTTTTCTTCAATGACAAATCAGATTGCAGAAAATGTGCCTTTTGGGACTGCTGTTGGTTTCATTAATATAGAAGACAGGGACTCAGGGAAAAATGGAGAGATACAATTTGAACTATCCCCCAATACTCCTTTTAAAATCAGAACTATTAAAAACCGTTATTCACTGGTCACTGATGGGATTTTGGATAGAGAAAATATATCCCAATACACTATTGAGCTGACAGCTTCTGATTTAGGGTCTCCTGCTCAGTCTAGTAAGGCGATTGTTATTCTCAGTGTTTCTGATGTTAATGATAATGCACCAATATTTACACAATCTACCTACAATGCTTTCATTAAGGAGAACAGTGACCCGGGGACCTTTCTGTGTACAGTGTCTGCTACTGATGCAGATGAGGGGGAAAACTCTGATCTGGTTTACTCCATAGTGGAGACCCAGATAGATGGATCATCTGTATCCTCATTTGTTTATATTAATTCCAAAAATGGTGATATACATGCTCAGCGTTCTTTTGACTATGAGCACATTCAGACTCTACAAATCACTATAAAAGTAGAGGATTCTGGATCTCCAAAATTATTTTCTACAGTCCCTGTCTTTATATTCATATTGGATACAAATGACAACTCCCCCACCCTGCTGTATCCAGAGCACTCTGAGGACCTCATTGTCCAAGAGAAAATCCCAAAATCTACAAGTGCGGGATACCTGGTGACAAAACTGACTGCAGTGGATCCGGACTGTGGTCACAATGCTTGGTTGACTTTTAACCTCTATGATCCTGGCAGTTCTGCACTTTTCCAAGTGTCTAAACATACAGGAGAGGTCAGGACTGTGCACGGATTTCAGGATATAGAAAATACAGAGAATCAACTTATCATCTCTATCAGTGATCATGGAGACCCTCCATTATCTACTACTGTCACTGTACTTGTTATTATAGCAGATGAGGTTATAGTAGAAAAACCAAAATCTGGTGATTTATTCACCCACAATAAAGCACCATCAGATATTACTTTATATTTAATTGTTTCTCTTGTGGCTATTAGTTTAGTTTCCCTTGTGACATTCATTATATTACTAGTGAGATGTCTGAGGAAAGAAAGTTATGGTTATAGCAGCAGTTGCTGTTATCTTAGTGGGCCTGAGTCCAAATCATACATGGATCAGTATCAGCCGGCTCTTTTCCTGAACACAGATGGAACATTAAAATACATGGAAGTCAGGATGGTACCCCCAGGAGCACAAGGACAATGTTACCAAACGAATGTTCCCCCAGCCCCACAACAGCGGGATTCAGCTTTTCTGCAGTCTCTACATTTTCCTCAATTAAGGGAACTAGTTAAAGACAGTGATACCTCTTCAGATACAAGTTGTCTGAATGATCCAGCCAAGGTGAGTTGCAGTTTTAATCTAACAAATGTAATCTATGCACTGTTTACATTTTAACTTTTGATGATGAATATTATGTTTGTTTGAATGTGTACTACCAAATGTAGGTACTAATATTTTCTAGTATTTGTTTGTTTTGAATTTCAAGTCATGAAAAGATTAATTTACAATTCTGCACTTAAAAACACATCATTTTTATTATACATGTTATTAGTGTTTTTAATGTACATATCTGGTGCGTTCTTTGTTTCTTGTAAGATATAGCAGCTGAATTGCATAATGCAGTAGTTCTAAAGGGGAACTTCAGAAAAAAATACTTTTAAAAGGGAGATTGTGCCTGCATAGTTACCTGTAATGATTCTTTTGTAATGTTTCAAGGGATGCAGAGGATGCTTAAAGTAATTTCCCACCTTTTTAAGTGATTGGCATTTATTGTGGTAATGAAGAGGTGCAGTGATGATGTATACATGTGCACATTTTCATGACTCACATTGCAGGTTTTCTTCATTTTTTTTAATTAAGGTTTTATTAGGCCTGAAGCCTAAACATTCAAATTTTTTTCCACGGGAAATTAAGTTAGACACCAAGGTTTCAGACTGTAATCAGCTGCCCCCCTCCCTGTCACCCATTGTAACACAATCACTAAACACTAGCTCTGCCTTTACACACAATACACTGTCCAGGGAAGGAACGGGGGAGCTGGTAGAGCATATGTTCACATTGCTTGCACAGTACAGAGGCAGGAATTTTCATGCAGATATAAATAGGAAAGCTAACAAAAAATGTAAGTTTTTGCTTTCATATACATCAACTGCATATTCCTGCAGCATGTACACTTGGTGTACATTGCTGGCAAATGTTTTTAAAAATAGTTCCATAAAGGTGGAAATGGGCTTTACATTTTTATTTGTACTCTGTTCTAAACAGTGTGTCCATTGATCTTCAGCGTGGTGCTGCAGCAACTTCCCATCTTTTACAGTGAGGACAGAGAGTGCTTCAGTTGGCGACTCCCCCATTCAGAATATGTCTTCTATTCTTTTGAATGAATACAAGGTGTTCTCTAAATGGATATTGGTAAATTGTGGTGCCTTTCCAGTTTGTGCGGTAGGCAAACTCCTTGTATTCATTCAAATAAATAGAAGACATTTCCTAAAGGGAGGAGGTTGAGAGCAGAAGATCACAGGACAGGCTATATGTGGCACACATACAATACTCATTCAAATTTGATCATCTCCTGTATTCCTCCACACATATAATGTTATTGGGATACGCTAACCCAATCTAATTTTATAAAATATATTGTTCCTGCCTTTTCACTTTATCAAATTGTGCTATATAAAACAACATTGAACACAATGGTACTGAACTTTATGCAGTTTAGATTCATTTTTAAATAAAATGTGCAGAGGCTAAAGTGTTTATTGGCCAGCTAAAGTTTGACAGATTGTAAGAAAATGACACAAAATATTCCTTTTCTCGAAGCATAGGGTGGAAAAGTTCAATAATAGATGATTGTTTCCGTTGTTGCATAAAGTTCAGAATGTGTTTAATTTAAAGTTACAAAATATTACAGGATATGGTATATCTTACAGAATTAGTCTATAAGATGCTTGATGATTACAAAATATAGTATATCTTACAGCAGAAATCTATAAGATGCTTAAGAAACGTGGCTAGGTAGTAAGTAAAAATAGTCCTAACAGGTGTCTGTCTATTCAATGTGAGTGTGGGGGTGTGGGCGTGTCTTTGTGATGCTGTGCGTGTGTGTGTGTGTGTGTGTGGATCTGTAGGGAATGAGTGTGAGTGTGGGGGTGTGAGTGAGTCTTGAAGGCTCATCCCTCATCCTTTTATCCATGCTTATACTTTAAAATAACCTATGTGATGTTTACCTTAAAAGTATTTCTGATTAGCATAAGGGAGTGCCATCCTCTAGTAGCTGAGTCATGTGTTCTCCTTCTATCCCATTTTGGGCATCATAGTCTATGTCCTGAGTAATGTGGTTTATTCTTCAAACTCATTTTAAAGTCTTCTTTGGCCATTCCCAACAACTGTTTCAACTATACTTAGGTCTGCCTGTCAGGCTTACTGATTGATTACCAATTGTAAACTCAAAATCAGCAGTATAGTAAAACTGAATCTCCAAACTTGGATAGATTAAAATATAGACAATCAATCATCATTTAAGGTTCACACATACATATTTCAATATCTGCTTTTAACACAGATGTAATGATTGTGCACCGAATATAAGTTTTATGATTGTGTTTATAAAACATATTGCTTCATATATTGTAGAGTCACAGGTGTCTTGTTTATAAAACAATAAAAATTTCTATTGAAAGTTTCATATTATGCCATTTTTTTACCTGATACTTTGCAAGAGGGAGATCAGGGATTTCCATGTGCAATCAGTGGCACTCTGTTCTGTTGGCAGCGTGACAACTGCCTGACCTGTAAGCAGTAAATGAGTTTTGATTATCACACAGGGAGAGCAGTGACTAAACTGTTGTAGTGTTTATTCATACGTTACTATTGGGCATGAATGTAAAAAATAATGAAACAACATTTAAGCCCCTTATTAATCCCTTGTAAACCCTCATTAGTTTTAATTAGCTCCTTCTTTCCCTTCATTCCTTAGTATTTTTGTTGATTCTTTTTAATCTTTTGTATGTAAACTTTTTGAATTTGTTTTCATTTGTTTTAGTATTTTTAGTGCAAAAAAGCTGTGTACCAGAAATATGATTCCACACACAATTTAACGTTAACATTTTAGTTAACCCTTATTATTTTTATTAACTCCTTCAATTCCCTCCCATTTTTTCACTGTTTTAAATTTGTGTTAGTTTTTGTAGCACCAAATAAAAAAACAACTCAAGAAGGGGGCACACTTTGACCTTGGTTCCAGGGGGCACCACTAAGTACAGGACCAGGGTGGACAAACTGAAGTATAATATATTGCCAGTTGATGGAGAACCACTCTTGCTTAGATGCTGAAAACAGGAGCAACTGGTCTTCTTGCTGAATGTATGAAGGCAACAGGACGACTCCACTACGCAACTCAAAGGACTGCTAAGCTGGATAAACACAATCCAAACAGAATGAGAGCCAGTACACAGAACAGACTGCGCCATTGCCTCGGTGAACAGGAAACACATATAAACTGACGGTACTAGAAGTTAAATCCAATATAGACAGACATGACCATAAAAAGTAACTAATAGATCCAGATTTATAAAACAAAGAGATATGACATCACTATCTTGTGAGAACAGAGCCCTTAAATAGCTACAAACACAAACCACATGAGAGACCAGTGAAAGAGAGCAGAGGCACAACCTGACTAAACAGCCCTGTCAAGGAAAAAATTTGGGATGATAAAGAAAAAAAAGACTTGATTTGTGAAATTGTCATTGAGATTGAGGGTCACCACTAAAAATTCCTGATTTTTGAAGGCTCAGATATTGGAAATGCCAGAAAGGTGCAAACCTAGAACCCCAGAATTTTCTGGGTATAATAAAACGGTGTTCCCTCAGTGTAATGTCTTGGGTTACAAATTTCCACAGGCTATAGAATGTATATAAAAACGTACACAGGTCATGGTTATATCTTACAGCCTATTCCCAATGGTCTGTTTTCATGCAGCAAAATGCATGCATGAAAATGCATTTTAAGTATTTTTCTTTGTGGCTGGCTCACATTCATTCACTGCAGTTTAGAGAAACTATATGAGCCCTTTCGCACCTACATTACCACATTTGGTAAAACACACATGGAACAAAGTGAATATAGCCTTGTAGAAGAGGAACAAGAAATAACTCAGGGAGAGAGTTTGCTTGCCCAGGGTCCTGCTGTACAGTTGAGTTTCTCAAATCTATTTATGTTCCTTTTTGGCAAGTGTGGTATGGCCTAAAGTAATACCAGTTGACAAAATGCCACAATAAAATGGTTAACATCATATACATTGATTCCTTTATCAATTTGGTGCAATGTATTTAGCCAACCAAGCGCTTACTGCAAAGTAAGAATTGTATGGTTATAACACAGATACATTTAGTTACTTGTGTTAAGTCTTTTTAGTGTTTACCTGTTTGTTCTATTTCATCCTGCTATGAAATAATTCTTATTGATCTGTCAGACAGTTTGTCAACAAATATTACAATCCATGAACCTATACATTACACAGTTGTTTTTGCTTCCTTGATTTGAAGAACAACTCAGAAACAAATTATTTTGTGTGGCAACCAAGTATTCAGAAACGAGAACTGTGTTTAAAGGAAACATTTTAAACATATTATAGTATTTGGTTATGTTATAAAATAAATGGTAGCCAACATCAAAACATCAGAGCAATCACATCAATACACACTTTCAAAATAAAGGCTTTAGATTTACAGAAGTAAATGTGATGCATACATACTTCGTAAAAATATTGGGGGAAAAGGGCAGCAACCATCTACTTTGTAAAAAATTTATATTCTGTCATTATAATTGTTCCCTGTAATACATTTGTATTTGTTTGCTAAGAATGTAGTTATATCTAATGATCACCAGAGGGCAGACTTGCCATCCATACATTTAATTTAGCTTCAGCAATGTATCTGCTCAAGTTAGTTGTGCACTCTCCTCCCCCTGGCTCAGTGATTCACCCTCCCATCTTTTCTCTCACACACAAAGAGCTGCTCTGTTGATGATCCTGAGGATGTTTTCTCTATACTTGGATTATTTCAGCAATTATATCAGTATGCCTTTTAAATAACAGGCATTTTGGATTTCAGTGGATCTATGGTACAGCATGTATCAATGAGACATTATAAGATATGGACATCAGAGGCTGCTGTCTGTGTTGGAAATGGCAAGTAGCTTTCTCCCTTTTCCTTTGTAGCTGGGGCTGGGTCTCTGCGCAGCTTCGTTATTCTATTGTGGAGGAGTCTGATTCAGGGACATGGGTGGGAAATGTTGCTCAGGATCTGGGCATAAAACATACAGAGATTTCTCAGCGGAGATTACATTTATCATCTGAGCAATACCAAAAATATTTTGCTGTAAATAAGGAAAATGGAGGCTTGACTGTTAAAGACAGGATTGATAGGGAGATACTATGTGGATCCAGTGTGGACTGTGTGCTGCATTTAGAGGTGGTTGCTGCAAACCCTTTGGAGCTTTTCAAGTTAGATATAGAGATTCAGGATATTAATGATAATTCACCCACATTTTTATCTAATAACCACATTATTGAGATTACAGAGTTAATTGCAACTCCTGGTGATAGATTCACCTTAGATATTGCAAAGGATTTAGATGTTGGTGTTAATGGTGTTAGTCGGTACATATTAAATGCAAATCCTTATTTCTCTTTGTCTGTAAAGAATCGTAAGGATGGAACTCTCATCCCTCAGCTGATATTAGAGAAGGTGTTAGATAGGGAGGAAAAACAAAAACACAATCTTATTCTCACTGCTATTGATGGGGGAGAACCGGCTAGATCAGGATCCTGTCAAATCACAATAACAGTGTTAGATATTAATGATAATCGGCCAGTCTTTGATCAGCCAGTGTATAAAATTATTCTAAAGGAAAATGTCCCGTTAAATACTGTTATATTAACTTTAAATGCAACAGATCTTGATGGAGGAGCAAATAGTGAAATCCTATATTTTGCTGACAAACACACATCTGAATCTGCTAGAGAAAAATTTTCTTTGAATGAACAGAATGGTCAGATTTATGTTATTGGATCTATAGATTATGAAGAAGCTACTTTCTATGAAATTTTGATTAATGCTGTAGACAAAGGACTTCCTAAACTGAAAGGTGACTGTGTGGTTCATATAGAAATAGAAGATATAAATGATAATTATCCTGAGATTTCTTTTACTTCAATGGCAAATGAGATTCCAGAAAATGTACCTCTGGGAACTGTTGTGGGATTTATTAATGTGAGAGACAAGGATTCAGGGAAAAATGGAGAGATTCAATTGGATGTATCCACCAGTATTCCATATAAAATCAGAACTATTAAAAACCGTTATTCACTGGTCACTGATGGGATATTGGATAGAGAAAAAATATCACAATACACTATTGTGCTGACAGCTTCTGATTTAGGTTCTCCTGTTTTGTCAAGTAAGATCACTGTTATTCTCAGGGTTTCTGATGTTAATGATAATGCACCAACATTTTTACAGTCCACTTATAATGCTTTCATTAAGGAAAACAGTGACCCAGGGACTCTTCTCTGTTCAGTGTCTGCTACTGATGTGGATGAGGGAGTTAACTCAGATCTGGTTTACTCCATAGTAGAGACCCAGATAGATGGATCTTCTGTATCCTCATTTGTTTATATTAATTCTAATAATGGTGATATATATGCTCAGCGGTCCTTTGACTATGAGCACATTCAGACTCTACAAATCACCATAAAAGTAGAGGATTCTGGATCTCCAAAATTATTTTCTACAGTCCCTGTCTTTATATTTATATTGGATACAAATGACAACTCCCCCACCCTGCTGTTTCCAGAGCACTCTGAGGATCTCATTGTCCAAGAGAAAATCCCCAAATCTACAAGTGCTGGATATCTTGTGACAAAACTGACAGCAGTGGATCTGGACTCTGGTCACAATGCCTGGTTGGAATTTAACCTTATTGAACATGATCGCTCTGCCATGTTCCAAGTGTCTAAACATACTGGAGAGCTCAGGACTGTTCGAGGATTTCAGAAGGAAGAAAATACAGAGCAGCAACTTGTCATTTCTATCAGGGATCATGGAGACCCTCCATTATCTACTACGGTCACTGTACTTGTCATGTTAGCAGCTGAGGCTGTAGTAGAGAAACCCAAATCCGGAGATTTCCTTAAACATTCAAAACCACCATCAGATATGACTTTATATTTGATTATTTCTCTTGTAGCAATCAGTTTAGTTTCCCTTGTGACTTTCATCATATTACTGGTGAAATGTCTGAGGAAAGAAAGTTATGGATATGGCAGCAGCTGCTGTTATCTTAGTGGATCTGAATCTAAATCATACATGGATCAGTACCAGCCGACCCTTTTCCTGAACACAGATGGAACTTTAAAGTACATGGAAGTCAGGATGATTCCTCCAGGAGGACAAGGACAATTTAACCAATTGAATGTGCCCCCAGTCCCACGTCAGCGGGATTCAGCTTTTCTGCAATCTCTGGATTTTCCCCAATTAAGGGAACTAGTCAAAGACAGTGATACCTGTTCAGATACAAGCTGTTTGAATGATCCAAGCAAGGTGAGTTGTTTTCTAAACCTATAGTTTTTTTTTAAAATCTACTAATTATGTAAAATGACATATCAAAGGTTAGACTTTTCAGCTAGGTAATCATGTATTTGTTGCAATCTTTGCTAACAAAATTATTTAATAGTAGCTATATTCTTTGGCACATTTGCTATAGACTCTTTGCAATTCTAGCTCCTGTTCTGTCGTTTTTTACTTGGCTTAATTGTATGTATATTATATATTTGTCTGATTTTAGTTTTGTGTTCTCCTAGGGTCCATTTACACACTGGTGCATAAAATACATTCCTTTTTTAATATGCCTTAAACCTGAAAGTGGACCTTTCATCAAAAATTGAATTTCTGCCAATCCAATATAGGGAAGGCAAGGGAAGCATTCACCTCAGGCGCAGCTGCAAGGGGGCACCTGACCCTGGCTGCGCCCCCTCACCCCTGTTGCCATGGCGATCACAGGGTGCCATAGCAACAGGGGCAGCAGGGAGTAGAGGAGTGGCACAGCCTGCAGCTTCTCCTCTGATCCCTGCTGCTCTCTACCGGCTGCATGGGCAGAGGCAGCGGGTATCCGAGAAGAAATGGAGAGTTGAAGCCGGTGAGGGGGGGTGGGGTTGGGGTGGAGGAGAGAGCTGTCTTCCAGGATGACCGAGTGGTGAGAAAAGAGAGAGACGCTTAGCCCGCTCGGCCATCCTGATATTTACAGATCCTCTGTGTGCAGAACAAACACTGTAGTGATCGGGTAATCACCCCAGTGTTTGTAAACAACTGGGGACAGATAGTACTATCTGTCCCCAGTTATAAATGAACAGGAAGTGCTTTACATCACTTCCTGTTCATTCATAAGTTTCAGAATGGGTAGTAGCACTCTCATCCATTCATCCACTTGATGATAGTAAATA